AACTGGGTTGATTAATTGAAGTCCCTTCTCCTCATTGACTCTAATGACGACTTTGAACTCCTTTACCTCCCTCTCCATTTCTACTTCAGACTCATCCCACTTTGTCACTACCCTTCCCTTCTTTACTGCATCTGCCACCACCGAAGAATTTCTTCTTTTTGGACTCATCCTTTCACTACACGAACTACGCACCTCACTCTCATTACCTACAGTACTTTCCCTCTCTGGCCCATTCACAGCACAGCTGTGTCTACAAGCTGTAGTCTTTATCCAGAGTTCCTTCACCAGTCTACAGGATTTCCCCGATAGTGTCCTGGGTGTTCCCTCGACGTCGACTTCCAGACACCCAAAGATTCTTTATTTCTTTATCTACATTTTCTTCTTTTTTTGTTTTCAATTTCAAATTTTTAACCATTCAGCTGTATTAGTGAATTGTTTTAAATTATCGCGTGCCGCACCTCCCTTCCATCCTTAACCGGAAGCCGACCGCAATCCTGGACAAAGACTAACACAGAGACAGACTTATATATAGGAAACAGCAATCAGACAAAGTGAAGGCAGCTGTGAGTGATCACACATGCCAGAGACAGAGACTGAAGACGCAGGACATAGACATGACACCAGATGGGGCCAGACACCAAAGAAACACAAACCCTATAGAGACAGAAACAGGCTCAGGGAAACACTGACATGAACACAACACCACAACTCCTACATATAGAGGAAATAATATTTCTAATCAGTCTCTTTAAACCCCAAAAACAACAAAGTGAATTCTTCTTGTGCATAAAGAGATCAAATTTATCAACACACAGATTAAAATAACAGATTCAATGGTGAAATTTTAATGTATTTTATTACAAAAATATAATAATCAGTAATATATGAATATGGTTATATACATGTATGCAAAATAAGACCATTGAAAGGAAGTAAAAATCTGAAGTAAAATGAATCTGTTAGATTATACCAGATATCAAACGACTGAAAGTAAAGCATGATTATTATTATTATTATTATTATTATTATTATTATTATTATTTATGAGACTAGCCTGTATAAAGAAAGGTTGAATGAATTTGAAACTTTGAAAGGCAGATTTAGAGTTTTTAATCTCTTTTTGTGAAGAAGTAAATATGTCTAAGCTGAACTATGTTTAAGTTTACTGTATAATTACTCTGAGGTCACCCAAAAGTCACCAAACGAGCAGTAAGGAAGCTTCATTCCTACTGAAAGTCGGAGAGACCTTCTCTCAGCTGCTAAAATCGGTACCAACTGTGTTCTTCCAACTGGAGTCATGACAGCGTGGAGGTGAAAGGTCGTCCAGGAGTCAATGTTTCAATGTTGTTCATGTTGAGTCATGTTTCAAAATCACACAAGCACATTCACATCAAAACTCTTCCCCGTTTCCCCCCATACACTTTCCCTTTTAAACCATAATCATAAAGACTATTGGGTCTATCACTCAGTCTTTAACTCTAAAGCCAGAGGAGTGGCTATTTTAATTAATAAGAGAGTTCATTTTACAAAATCCAAAATAATAAAGGATAAAAATGGCAGATTTCTTACAATTGCAGGCAGTTTATTTCACACCCCTGTTTTATTAGTGAACATTTATGCTCCAAATGTTGATAATCCAGATTTTACAAATAACTTATTTAACACACTTCCTTGTCTTGATACTCATTTGCTAATTCTTGCTGGTGACTTGAATTGTGTAATGAGCCCAACATTAGACCGCTCCTCACCTCGGGCCTTTACCCAGTCTTCTATGTCAAAATCTATTTCTGACTTCATGTCTCAGAATGGGTTTGTTGATCATTGGAGGACACTTAATCCACAAACAAGAATTTATTCTTTTTTCTCTCAGGTACATCAGTCCTCTTCTCGTATAGACTATTTTTTTGTTGATGGGTCTTTAATGCACAGAGTCATGTCTTCCGAGTACCACACCATTATTTCATCATGCCCCACTGAGCCTTGATATAAATTTTATGGACAGACCTCGCTCTTGACCTCCATGGAGATTTAATACTCTCCTGTTATCAGATGATCCATTCAATAATTTCATTTTATCAGCAATTGATGATTTTCTCACATTTAATAAAAATGACTCAGTCTCTTTCATTTTTGTGGGAAACACTGAAAGCATATCTCTTTGGCCAGATAATTTCTTATTCAGCTAATATTAACAAAACTCGCAGAGCTAAGAAATCAGAAATCTCAACAAACATTCAAGATACTGACAAACAAAATGACATTATTCCATCACAGACTTTATTGAAGCAACGACAGGATTTACAAAGCTTTTTAACCACCTCAGTGACCTCAGAACCAGAGACTGGAAAGCCCAACCCAAAGTCCCCAGGCTACGCTTCCTCAGTGGAAGATGTGCTGGTGGGATTGAGGAGGTCTTCGAAGTATTCTGCCCACTGACCAACGACATTCTGTGTTGAGGTCAGCAGCACACCACCTCCACTATAAACAGTGTTGGTGGTGTACCGCTTTCTCCCCCTGAGATGCCGAATGGTAGACCAGAATCTCCTTGAAGTCATGCGGAAACCATTCAATTCAATTCAATTCAATTCAAAAATACTTTATTAATCCCAAAGGGAAATTATTTGTTGTTGTAACTCGTTATCCTCATTTCATTAAGAGATGTTATAGATGCTGATGCTGTAGACAGGAAGGATCTCTTGTAAAGGTCCATCCCACAGTGGATCCTAAGAAACTGGCTGCAGATGCCGTCTGATCCGTCCACCCAGACTCAACTGGCCTCTTGGTTCCACCAGGCTGTAGGACCGCCCCAATACCGAGCAGAACTCCTCCCATAGCGATGGCCACTCCTCCCAGCAGTCTGCTGAGCTCCTCGTCACTGCGGACAGCCAACTGTAGGTGCTGAGGGACGATCCTGTCCTTCTGCTGTCATGAGCCGTGTTTCCTGCTAGTTCCAGGATCTCAGTGGTCAGGCACTCGAGCACAGCTGGCAGATAGATGAGAATGCATCCACAGAACATCCTTTTCAATTCATTTGAGATTTGGGGCTGTAGTTGAGATATTATTTGAGCTTTTGAGATGTTAATCAGCTGCTGTTGGTTGTAGAAAACTGCCTTGTTGACATGGTTACGCATCATAACAAATGTCCAAAACTAAAAAAAGTTTCTGTAAAAATCCTTCCAGCTGCACAGCAACTGATACCAGAGGAAACAATCATCCAAAAAAAATGTGATTTACATCCAGAAAAAGAGGAATTAAGGTTTCCAAAAGCAAAATCTCAGAATGAAAGTAACTGAGCTGCTCCAACATGCAGCCACCTTGAGCGGCGCAATATGCATGCATCATCACTGAAAGCAGTGTCATTCTCCATGGCCTCTCCGAACTCCTCCCACGCCCGAGTTTTTGCCTCAGCAACCACCCGAGCCATATGCCGCTTGGACTGCCGGTATCCATCAGCTGCTTCTAGGGTCCCACAGGCCAAAAAGGCCTGATAGGACTCTTTCTTCAGCCTGACAGCATCCCTCACTGCCGGTGTCCACCACTGGGTTCGAGGAGGGTTACTACTGCGTCAGGCACCAACAACCTTGCAGCCACAGTTCTAATAAGCCACCTCGACAATAGAAGTGTGGAACATGGCCCACTCGCACTCAATGTCACCCACCTCCACCAGAACGTGTTCAAAGCTCTCCCGGAGGTGGGAGTTAAAGCTCGATCTCACAGGAGACTCTGGCAGATGTTCCCAGCAGACCGTCACAATATGTTTAGGTCTGCCAGGTCTGACCGGCATCCTCCCCCACCATCAGGGCCAACTACCCACCAGGTAGTGGTCAGTAGACAGCTCTGCCCCTCTCTTCACCTGAGTTTCCAAGACATATGGCCACAGATCAGATGAGACAACAACAAAGTCGATCACTGAACTGTGGTCTAAGGTGTCCTGGTGCCAAGAGCACATATATGGACACCCTTATGCTTGAACATGGTGTTTGTTATGGACAATCCATGATGAGCACAGAAGTCCAACACCACACCACTCGGGTTCTGATCAGGGGGGCCATTCCTCCCAACCACACCCCTCAAAGTCTCACTGGCATTGACCACATGAGCATTGAAGTCCCCCAGCAGAACAAGGGAGTCCCCAGGAGGCAAACTCTCTAGTACCCCCTCCAAGGACTCTAAACTGTAGGTAATCTAAACTGTTGTTTGGCGCATAAGCATAAACAACAGTCAGAACTCATCCCCCCACACGTAGGTGGAGGGAGGCTACCCTCTCGTTCACCGGGGTGAACTCCAATGTACAGGTGCCAGGATGGGGGGAAACAAGTATGCCCACTCCTGCTCGGCGCCTCTCACCAGGGGCAACTCCAGAGTGGAAGAGTGTCCAACCCCTCTCGAGGAAACTGGTTCCAGAGCCATGTGTCGAGGTGAGTCAGACTATTTTTAGCTGGAAACTCTCAACTTCACACCACCTCAGGGTCCTTCCCCACCAGAGAGGTAACATTCCACATCCCAATAGCCAGCTTCTGTAATCGAGGATCAGACCGCCAAGGTCCTCAGTCACCACCCATCCCACATTGTACCCGACCCCTTTGGCCCCTCCCCCAGGTGGTGAGCCCATGGGAAGTAGGACCCACATCTCCTCTTCGGGCTGTGCCCAGCTAGGTAACATGGATAATAGCCCAGTCACCAGTGCTTGCCAGTATGCCCCACCTCCAGGCCCAGCTCCAGAGTGGGGCCCCAGTGACCCATGTCCAGGCGAGGGAGAATTGTTTCCATTGATTGTACTCATCATAAGGGGTCTTAAATACATAAAACGTAAATAATGCTTATACTAATATTACCTCAGACAGACAAAGCTAAAAACATTCGAGGACATGCGTTTATTCATGCTAATTATCTGAATAAGACATCAGATTTGACCAGATGTCCTCCAGAAGGGACGTCTTTGAGGCTTGACCTCCTGTTGGAAGCGACATCATCATGTTGTTGGGCTATCAAAGACACATTTATGCATCTTTAGCGCAAACAAAAGCATTTTTTAGGACGCACTCATCATCATCGACGTAATCTTCTCCTATAAAAAATGAAAAGAATTCAACATAACAGAACATTGATATGTCTTCCCTTGAGTTTTCTTTCTTCTGAAATGAATAGTACAAAACGAAACACAAACTGACAACAATGTAAGAACACCATGGTTTGTCTGCAATACAGAGCCAAACTGGAGTCGTAAAGAATGACCAGATAAAATCCTGTAATATATTATTTCAGATAAAATGACCCACAAATTAAACGTAATTCTGTTGTTCACAGTGGAAACATCTGTTTAAAGAGCATTTATCGTCTTGTGTACCATTCCTGTTGATATCCATGCAGGGCGCATGTCCACCCAAGTTGTTTGGTTTCCCATTGGCCCATTGAGTGAAGGAGAAATTTGAGCCATCGCTCCACATCCACACAGGCATCTGTGAGAGGAAGTTTTCAAACATAATTTCTTTCTTTTCATGCTGATTGCATAAAGCTTTACAAAAATCTCTTTCCACTAGTTAGACTGCAACACAAAACCCTCACCTCTGGAAGCGGAGATGAGGTGTTTTCATTTGGAAACCTCTTGATGCCTCCAACCCAACATTTTGTGTTGGTTCCGGTAGCTTCCACAATGAGTCTCCTGATGAAGTCATACTGATCTTTGTCATGAAAGGAGGCCAAATGTCCATCGTGGTCAACACAGTATTGCTGTGTGGGAAAATGCCAGCATAAACACATCATCAAACCTTCATCATTGTGATGAACTAGTTGTACAGGTGGCAAACAATATGGCAGTAATAACCTATATGTGAAGTCTCTGATTAAAACTGGTCTTAATCAGTTTTTAGAACTATCAGGTTGATGTCTGATTAAAGCTAAAAATGACCCATCAAAGAACGTCCTTGACCCATGAACAGATTCCTTCCTTAGATCATCCACAGGCGTCTAAGACAGTCCTATGTAAAAATGCAGTTGGGTCTAACATAAGAAATGCTCTGTTTTGTACTATAATATCATTATCAAGAACAAGATATTAAGTATTTGAAGATTTAACTTTAGATTAAACCAGCAACTAACGAGCACAAGTCAGTGTATCTCTTGTGCCAGTCCCAAGCCCAGGTAAATGGTGAGGGTTGTGTCAGGAAGGTCATCCTATGTAAAACACTTCTGCCAAAACTATAATGCAAATTCATCAATGCGAAACCATACTGGATCGGTCGAGGCCCAGGTTAACAACAACCGCAACCGGTGCTGTTGACAAGCAGGGTGCTGGCGAAAATTGTGCTACTGCTACCTAGATTATTAAGCATGGACATTTTTGTGCTACTGTAAGTCGAAGAACACGAGGAGGGAAATGTGTCAGGAGACAGAGGGAGAAGAGGAAGTGACAAAAGTAGGATTGAGGGTTGCAACTCTAAATGTGGGGACAATGACAGGCAAAGGTAGAGAGCTGGCTGACATGATGCAGAGAAGAAAGGTAGATGTTTTATGTGTCCAAGAGACCAAGTGGAAGGGCAGCAAGGTTTGCAGCATTGAAGCCAGGTTCAAACTATTTTACCATGGTATGGATAGAAAGAGAAATGGAGTAGGGGTGGTCCTGAAGGAGGAGTTGCCAAAGAATGTAGTAAAGGTGAAGAGCGTGTCAGATAGGGTGATGTGTCTGAAGGTAGAAGTAGAAGGTCTGATGCTAAATGTTGTCAGTGGTTTTGCTCCACAGGTCGGATGTGATGTGGAGGAGAAAGATACATTTTGGAAAGATCTGGATGAAGTAATAGAGAGTATTCCCAGGGAGGAAAGAGTGGTGATCGGAGCAGACCTGAATGGACATGTTGGTGAAGGAAACAGAGGATGAGGAAGTGATGGGTAGGTTTGGTGTCAAGGAAAGGAACCAGGAAGGACAGATGGTGGTGGATTTTATCAAGAGAATGGCTGTAGTCAACACTTATTTCCAAAAGAGGGAGGAGCATAGAGTGACCTATCAGAGTGGAGGAAGGAGTATGCAGGTCGACTACATTCTGTGTAGAAGAGGAAACCTGAGGGAGATTGGAGACTGTAAGATTGTGGCAGGGGAGAGTGTGGCCAGACAGCATCGGATGGTTGTGTGTAGAATGACTGTTGTTGTGAAGAAGAGAAAAAGAGTCAAATCAGAGAAGATAAAATGGTGGAAGCTGAAGAAGGAAGAATGTTGTAAGAACGTTAGAGAGGAGCTGTTAGGTTGTTTTCACACCTGATAGTCCGGTAGACTCGGTTCGGTTGGGGACCAATATTCATAACATTTTGTTTACATTGAGCTGGTGCATTTGCATTCACACTGCACTGTGCAGTCAAGCCAACCTGTTGAACCAACCTGTTACCCCGCTTGCCTGTGGTGGCGCTGCACCTAGAACTACTGAAAGAAACAACACAAAAACCTCTAGGAATGGTAATGTTCTAACAAGTGAGGAGAGTGTAATGAGAAGATGGAAGGAGTACTTAGAAGAGCTAATGAATTAAGAGAATGAAAGAGAAAGAAGAGCAGAGGTCATAGAAACTGTGGACAAGGAAGTGGGAAAGATTAGTGAGGGTGAAGTCTGGAAAGCTCTGAAAAGAATGAAGAAGAGGAAGGCAGTAGGACCTGATGACCAGTGGAGGTTTGGAAATGTCTTGGAGAGATGGCAGTGAGGTTTTTTACTCAAATATTCAATGGCATATTTGAGGGTGAGAAAATGCCTGAGGAATGGAGAAGAAGAGTGCTGGTGGCCATTTTTAAGAACAGGGGTGATGTACAGAGTTGTTGCAACTACAGGGGAATTAAGTTGATGAACCCCACAATGAAGATCTGGGAGAGAGTTGTGGAAACAAGACTTAGACAAGAGGTGGCTATCTGTGAGCAGCAGTATGGTTTCCTGCCAAGAAAGAGCACCACAGACACCATCTTTGCTTTGAGGATGCTGATGGAGAAGTACAGAGAGGGTCAGAAAGAACTTCATTGTGTCTTTGTGGATTTAGAAAAATCATCTGACAGGGTGCCAAGAGAGGAGGTGTGGTATTGCATGAGGAAATATGGAGTGGCAGAAAAGTGTGTTAGACTGGTACAGGACATGTATGAGGACAAAATGACATGTATGAGGACAGCAGGACATGTATGAGAACAGTAGGACATGCATGAGGACAGCATGACATGTATGAGAACAGTAGGACATGTATGAGGACAGTAGGACATGTATGAGGACAGCAGGACAGTGGTAAGATGTGCTGTAGGAGTGACAGATAGCTTCAAGGTGGAGGTTGGAGTGCATCAAGGATCAGCTCTGAGCCCCTTCTTGTTTGCTCTGGTGATGGACCGACTAACAGATGAGGTCAGGCAGGAATCCCCATGGACTATGATGTTTGCAGATGACATTGTGATCTGTGGTGAGAACAGTGAACAGGTGGAAGAGAACTTGGAGAGGTGGAGGTATGCACCTGAAAGAAGAGGAATGAAAATCAGCTGTAGTAAGACAGAGTACATGTGTGTGAATGAGAGGGAGGCCAGTGGAAGAGTGAGGCTACAAAGAGCAGAGGTCACAAAGGTGCAGGACTTTAAGTACTTGGGTCCACTATCCAAGAAAATGGGGAACATGGTAAAGAGGAGAAGAAAAGAGTACAGGCAGGCTAGAGTGGATGGAGAAAAGTTTCAGGAGTGATTTGTGACAAAAAGGTGTCAGTAAAGGTCAAAGGAAAAGTTTACAATACAGTGGTGAGACCAGATATGTTGTATGGTCTGGAGACAGTGGCATTGACAAAAAGACAGGAGAAAAAACTTGAAGTGGCAGAAATGAATATCCAAAAAAGTTCAATCTGGTCCTCTGGACATTCAAAAAAAAAAAGGCAAAAAAATATAGAAACGTTTCGTCTCTCATCCA